GTCTCATTATATTTTTGCTAAAACGAAAAGTCACTAAACCCATTGTACTCATTATTAAGAGTTAAGAAATTTGCAGAATGGCAGAGAATTCAGAGCTTACAAAGCTCTACTATACAGGTCACCATTTGAAAAGGCGATGTTAATGAAATTGGTCGTTTGGGGCCCTCTTGATTACCAATGTTACATCGCTGTCAATCTTAGTGGATAAGCAAAGATACTGCATCGTATGACATGTTATTACACCTCTTAGCCGTGTCTCATTAGCTGTCATAACTTAGAGACATGTTGCTGCTTTGTACCCGCAAATGAAATTGGTTAGTGGGCGTTCTTCTCGCTGTGCCGACTTCGATATGGTGACCGACACGAAGAGTTGACAATGGAGCGTACTGGCATTGACACACAGTGGGTAAGATGGGTCCTGTGATGCTTGGATCAGATGTTTAGCTCTTCGTTTGAACTACTTAACACTTATGGCCCCACCATTGTTCTCCTGCTAGGCTGTGTAACTACCAAGCCGATCCAGTAGCCTTCCAGAACTTCTCTGCGTCGTTAATACATTTTGAGGAAAGGCATGAGGCGATGCAGTCCAATACCCATGCTGAGAGCTGTGTAGGGAGAGCTTTTGTCTGTACTAGTTGCGTAAGAGCATTTCGCGCACGAAATCATAGCAGCGGAAATCTAGTAGACTCGTATAAACGCACGTTTTTAAAGGTCAGGGAAAAGCAGTCTGGCGGTCGTTCAAAATCTTTCTTTCTCATCTCCATTGACTCTGGAACATCCACAGTAAAACTATTAGTTCTAAAGAGAGCAAATCAGTCCTTTGTGAATCCTTGTTGGCACCTCTAGGAAACAATAAGCTAGTGGTTTGTGAAGAAGACAATTGCTTTGGCCTAATATCTGGCAACTTTTGCTCAAGGCGAGTGCATCTTATTCGGATAGCCTAGGTTGGATGGAATTATAGGGTAAATCCTCTATAGGCAGATGTCAAGCACATGTCAGCGGAAGAGCTGATTTCGAAACAGTAGGCAATTTGTACTGATTAGGAAGGACCGACCCTACGTTCGCAGGATTTTTACCATGAATCTAAAATACGCTTCAAATGGCATATGCATCCGCACCCATGCACATGCATATAGGGAAATATGCAAGAATTTGGACCATATGAAATAAATATGCATAGATATACTCTAATACGTTTGGATGTCAAGGTATACCCACATAACTTTTGTTGGTCAACTCAACATAATCAGAGCTAGCTGCATAAAAGTTACCGATAGATGAATCCAATCTCTTCTTTAGATGCAGTTCTTCCTTTTCTTTCTCCCAAAGCCGCTTCGTATTTTGCACCACTAAGTTGAAATAAAAAAGAGGAAAGAGTGACATTGAAATCGCTGGACTATAATTCACATATTATTATCCCAGACAACAACAATTTCGACACGCCAAATCATGCGTCAAACACCTCCTAGATGAACACGAATATAACAAAGGCAGTATTTTTCAAAAAGCACGTTTAAAAGAAAAGGATGCTCTTTCTCTCCACAGCAATACACGGATTTCATGTTTGAATAAAGAGGTTAAATAAGGGAAAAACATTAACTGGACAATTGGACAACAGCCAATAGTAGAAGAATTCGGGCCACAAATTCTGATTTCGCACCTGTGTGCGGTGAATGAGTCCCTTGACAGTGATGTGGAATTGGGGAAAGAAGAAAATAAGTAGGTGAAAAGGCATAATCGTGTTGTTGGCTTTGCGTTTGCCTTAGAGGACCTGCACGTGCGCAAGCAGTTCCACAAGCGTCATCTAGTCTCTGCAAATCCCAAGATGCTCCCCACTGGTGTCCCAACACTCACCCATGGGTAACACGCTTCTACCATGACCTCAGTCATAGCCACCAGCAAATGGAAATAAAAATAGAGGAGCACAGTGTTGCATCCTTAGCTCGCCATATATGTGGCCTGGCCTCGAGCCAAAGGCGGGCTTGTAGACTTGCAATAGTGTGTGCTTGAATAGATGAGGCTAGCAATACCGAGCAGCCACCCCGAAGAGAAGACAGAAAATCAGAAGCCACTCTTGTTTCCACCAAATCGGACTTCATCACGCTGGATGGATATTTACTTAATATGGTTTTATATATCATAGCAGGATGTTGCAGCTCAGAATATGAAAATTAGCACGTGGAACCATGAGGTCACTGTCGTTCAAGATGATGTGTCATGGCGTGTAGTTAACAGCACTGCAGTCTCGTCACTTATAAAAAAGACTAGTAATTTTCGAGCTCAGAGTGAAGTCTAACAGGTGTTCCTCATTGCTCTTTACTGCCTAGGTTGCAAAGGTGATCAGCCTGGGATGATCTGTCTTATGCTTCAATTATCACACCCGCATCCAAGTGAGCTGACAGCTGCAGAGAGGCAAGAGTGTGTCACACAACAGTAATCTGTCACAGCAAATTCATTTTCACATTTGCCTAATAATTGGTCTTCTTGTTGACTTTGAATAAGTGCTCGATCATGCGCCCTTTGCAGACGACATTGTGGAGACTCAGCGAAGTTGCTCAGTGCGGCTATTTCCTATGTCAACCACATTTTTCATTGAGGGACTTTTGTATAGGATCCACATTATGCTTTCAGTATTCAACTGCGTATGTGATGTGTATGAGCATTCAAGTGCACCGCAACGGTCCCACCCGTGCACTTCTAAATGTTGTTTTCATGGCACAGGTTTGGTGATGCTTTTAGTGCTACACATAGCCGAGAAATCGGGCTAGGAAATAAAAAGGGACTTCCCTTCATCCAAAATAAAGTGGACAGAAGTCATCAGCGGTGCCTATTATGCAGCAGCTAACTGCAACTGGCAATCGCATCCATTGCAGTCATCGATAAGACTTAGAGCCCAATTCTGGGAGCGTCTTTTAAATGGGTAGACTTAACCTCAATGTAAGGCATTATAAGCCTACTGCAATAAGTGGATGGCAGGCCTAATGATGCCACTCACAAAACTACTATCTTTGAGGTACTTAACTTGCACCACCTGACTACATCAAACATGAGTGGCAGCTCGAGCAAGTATGAATTGGCTTACTGTTAGCGATCGTGCAGGAAGTTTGTGGGGCGGCAACCTGCGTGTAAAAATTCAATTCGCATGTCCACTTTAGTGACTTCCTCAACCTTTCGGATCAACTAACCAATAACTTCACAATAAGCGTTCTTGCTGATGGATCGGTGGTTCGTGAGTGCCATTCCCAGCAATACTGACAGGATGGTGGCGACGCGGGAGCTCAGCCCAAAGGGGAGCTACGAACGACTTTCAGAAGGGGAGATGGGTCTGATGCTATGATTTTCTCAACTTTTAATTTTGGTAACAACTTACTTTGGCGCCCTCCCATTGTTCCTTCACCGGGTGACCAGGACTTCCGTCAAGCCAGTAGCCCCAACCCTCATTACACCTCAGCAATAGATATTCAGCCCAAGCATTATAACTTTTACATCGACGGTCACGCGCGCGACGCTACATATAATCCAACTGTCCAGACGTGTCAACATGAAAGTAGCAAAGCAGGCTCAAGCAGTAAAAGTGAACAAAATTGGCGGAATCCTTATTGTCGGAATGATAATCCAAAGAGAATACGCTAAAGAATGGGTAAGTTTAGCAATAGAGCGCTATTACAGCTTCAACTTCTGTGTATCAACAAAGTTGGCTATTTGTGGTCCCACCGGGTAGAGTGAACTTCTACCAACTTCGTGTATATCATCTATCAAAATTATTTGGACTAATACACTATAGAGGGGTAGATGTTTTATCAATGAGCACCCTTGGAGACATGAAACATGAAAGTTACGTGAGTGAAGGTGTTTGACAGTGGCCTCTCAATAATCTCACGCAGACGAGGACAGAAGTGCAAGTCTCCCTTGCATCTGCCCTAAGCGACCACAGATGCTGCACACTGATTGCTTTAAAGGAGCTGT